AAATAAAACTCTAAGAATATAATGATTATTTGATAGTGTTAGTAGTTATTCAAGTAATATGAATATGAATTATGTGTTATACCTACCTTCTATATAGAAAAAGCACAAAATCCAACTTATGGTCTACTTGTGACATACTGATTATTTGGACCATGAGTTGCTCTAAGCTCATGATACAATTTGTTTAGAACTTTTTCGTGCAATGCTGATTTTCGTAATACAATTTGTGTGGTGATATTATTTGGCACAAAGTGACTCTAGCTCTCGTGACACTGGTTCCAACGCCGAAAGACTAAAACGGAACCCTTATAATTACGCCATATCCGTCTGTCCGTATGTTAAAGACATTTTATTTGAAGACTAATAATTGACCTACGTTGCTGAGATTTAGTAGGTAGATGTCTCGTGTAAGCCACTAGCGGCTAGGCATTACTGTACTCAAACTACATAAAATAATGAAGGTGAGCTAACTAAACTTGTAACAGAGGAGTGATAAAAAAATATTAAGTCCAAAAGAAAAAAATACAGTAGAGTCCAAAAGTAAAAAATATGGATAGAGTTATATGTGACCTTATACTTTTGAAGTATGGGGTGCAAGCTTCCAAAATAATTTAAACGAAAATTTTGAAGAAGATCCGTTAAGCCCGGGTGCAAAATTATAATTTTTTCCTATAGTGTAGTGAGTATCACACGCGATACAATAAAATAGTTTTTCAAGTCCCACTTTCAAACTTTAACTATATAGTAAGCTGTTAATATGTTGCTCTCTAGTAGGTACATATATTTTGTTACATTGTATGAATATTTTAATACTATAAATGAACAGATTCCAATCGCTTAATTAGATTAACACCAATTATAAGAGGAATTAATCTAGGAAATGTGTTTTTCCTAGAACTCCGACTATTTAGAACACACCATACGTCACGTTGTATCTCGTTGCTTTATACTTTGTAGTAACGTTCCACCTGAATGAATTATACAACACCTGCAAATCAACGCCTCTATTTATACGTAAATTGGGTAAAAATACATACATAATTTAAAAAAACTGAATAGGTTTAACGGCCAGCCGACATGGTGCAGGGATGCTTGTTAATGACTGGACCGCCCGCCCGCCCACTGGGCCGTGTTGTTTTGATTATAACACGTGACAAGTAAATATTTTTATTGACTATATTGCTTATTATCCGGGTTTTGGTAAGATAAATGATGTTGTATGCCAACCAAAAATATTTTCTCAGTAATATTAGCGAGAGCAGAAGGAAAAGTGAAAAGATAAAGTATTATCTTTTTAAGCAACTTCCAAAAAGGAGGAGGTTCTCAATTCGTCGGAATCTTTTTTTTTATGTATGTTCACCGATTACTCGAAGACGTCTGAAACGATTTTTTTTGTTTCGAAGGATATTTCTCAGGTGGTCCCATTGAAATTTTATCGAAATCGGTCGAGCAGTTTTTAAAAAAATCAACAATAGATTATTTTTTAAATAAATTGCTTAATCGAATATGTTATTAAAAAACTTTCTTCTTTCAAATTACCTGTTTATTACGTGTACACTAAAAATGGGAAAAATAACTTTTTAAAATAAAATAAAAACCGACTTCCAGGCACTAAAATGTAAAAATAACTAAAAGAGTATTTTCATTTAGAACAGACAACTAATCAGATATTTTCGAAGTCGGTGCCAGCCGACAATATTTTAAGATATGAATATCTAATAGGTATATATGATTGGGTATGAACTCAAATATAGTTAAAATATTATACATTAATTTGTGATGTATTTTACATATCGAAATATATTAGATTTGCTTTGCATCGACTGGCATCAACTTCGAAAATATCTAATTACGTATCTATTCTAAATGAAAACCCCTGTTTAGTTATTTTTTTACATTTTAGTGCCTGGAAATCGGTTTTTGTTTTTTAAAGTTTTCAATGTCTTGTATTGTAAAGATTTACAAAAAAAACTAAGATAAAATTAAAAAAGTATTTTTTACCAATATCTAAAATGTATCTGTTACATATTGTGTATTTTAATTACATTTCCTATGATTCAGAAAGTATCCTTTTAATTCTTTAGTTATATTGAAAATTCCAATTGATAAATATTAAAATCCAAATGAAATCATATTTATAATAAATAAATCAAATAATAAAGCTTATAATTCAAGGCTATTAGGATATTTTTACATCCAAAAAAACGATACATGTAAATAAATATGTTTAAGAATAATATAAAATTATATAATTTATTTTTTACTTTTTAGTGTCTGTAATAGATTATTCTGTAAACTACAGTAGATAATAATGCAACGATTGGTTATATTAATATTTCTCAGTTTCTCTACTCCGCACGCTCGCTTCAATGACAGGTAGTCTAATAACGGGACACGGGTTAATAATAATATATAATCAACCTAAATGAAAACTCCAACTCACAACGATTTTCACTTCAAAAATCTTTGTTTAGCCAACTATGCGAGGGGCATAGAGGGAAGGCCGGTGCCCAGCAGAGGGATGTTAAAAGTTGAATTATTATTATTTGAAAGAATAAAAAATACAACACATATAAAAAGTTTTGAAAATATAGGCACTGAAAACATATTTTAAATGATATTTCTTACTAAAAATAAAATTGGAAAAATAAATGGTCTCAGTATTAAGAAAATACTATTTTGTTTTAGACATAGTAAACGAATTATTCCATTTAAAACCGCGGGCTTAAGATTACTTATGCTAAATACGTGCACAATCCCTGACAAAGGCAAAATATCGTCACTCCGGAATTCCGACGGATGGCACACGCTTCATAATACTTACGGAAATTAAATTACTCACATCCCGTTTCAAGCTTTTAACGGTTCAAAATTTCTTTGCTATTTAAAATTATTACGTATTTATTCTAAATTTAGTAACATTTTAATTCAAACATATAGGTACATTGCTTTTCTTCTACTGTTCATTTATGATGATTTCCGCTAAAACTACTGTGATAAAGTATCATGTGTGTCTATGTGTGCCTGACGATCTGTTTCGCAGGTATTTTCTCTTTTACTACAGAATTTTTCAGGAAATACAACTGTAAAGCATCCTCTCGTACGTTCATCGGCCTTCCCATACGTGGAATATCATCCTCTTCCTACACTCTATTTACCTTATCCCACTCAGACGAAGTATGAATGCTCAGTGAACCGTGATTTTTTTTTTCCTTCTTACGCAACAAATCAAAGGCTACATTTGTTTTAAAGACTTTAGAACTCCAATCATTTTTAAAGTCGATTTTAATAAATTGTTGATATTTATTATTAAATTAAAAATAAAACCTCATTCAATAAAGTGAAATTGGTCAAGACTGAGAGATAAAAAATAAAACATTTTAATTTCAAATTTTTATTCGACACCATATTATACGCATTCCATTTATATACCAAATTGTAACAAAATGTTTATATTGTACACTATTTGACAATAATACTTTCAACTTTATAAAAGAACAATTTATTGAGGTATGAAGAGTTTTAGGATAATTAAATAAGTATGAAATTGGGTTGCCTTAATATTATGTAATATACTGTTGCTCACGAAGCGTCACAGGCTTCATTATTTATCGATATCATGTAATTTGATGTAAATTTCTAGTTTTGACACAATTCCTGTTACAAAAATGTTATGCCATCGTTCTTAGCACACCATGGGTATAATTATCAACACCTACTTTATTACTAAAGGTACAAATAATGTTCCATAGAAATGTTCAAAAATTCCATTTATTAATTCCATAATACTCGTAGATCAACTGTAAACCGATAAGGTTTTAAATAAATATGCTTATTTACTTTATAAATAACCGCACTAATTTTAGTCAATTCCACAAATATATGCATGATGATGATGTCTATTTCGGACTAATATTACGTTGAAATTCAAAGTAAAGTTAAATGTAACATTTTGTCACAACGAGGATAACGATGCATTTTTTTTTCTTAATCACTCATCATTATTTATCATCAATTCCTGGAAAGATAAAAGATTGGACGAGTACTATCGGTTACATTAGATATTTCTAATAAAATATAGACACATTCGTTATCATAACAAACAGGGACAGGTTCTAGATTTTGAAAAGTTGATGTGAAATCACATTTTATTTTTATGCCCAAAATGTAGGTTTTTTTGAATGATTTCAAAGAATATTTACGAAAATATAATAGTGGTAGGAATACCCTGTTTACCTTTAATTTAGAACTCAATATATTATTGGGTTGAGATATAACAAAATTATAATCATGAAGCCCATGTACTCGCCCATTTGCCATCTTAATAGTTTTCAATATTTACGAGTACTTATCAAAAACTACTAAATCAATATAATATGTAAGTATTTCAAGAAAACAACTTTACAAAAATTACAACTTAGAAACAATAAAACATTCTATGTTTTGTGAGACACTTGGTAAGATTATGGTACACCTAACGGTTTTAGTCTTTTTGCACTATGTTATTGTTATATTCACATTTATTAAATATATTGAGTAGGCTCACAATAATTAATAATTATGGTTTTTACACAATACTTTCCGTAGCTGAAATATAGAACAGGAGATAAGACAGGTAAATTACGCACGTAATATTTATATACTTTTATTATTTATTAATTATTCCTTGAATGCGATATCTATTGATTCAGTTCAGGTCTTATCTCTTATTAAATATTCCCACATCTTTACTACCGATTCATTCCAAAGTTCTGAGGAAAATTTATAATATACCTACATATTTACAGCCAGCTTGCGCTCTGCGAAGGGACACACTTTGGCTAATGTTATTTTACTTAGACATAACGCAGAAGTTCATTTTCACATTATTTACACGATCCATTAATAGGCTGAGAGTATAATATAACGATTAGTTATTTACAAGATGATAAATTCAAAAATCACAATTTTGTCCTCGTATTCACTACAATTTCCGCAGTGTCCAATTTTTCTAAGTCTCATACAGATATCTCTTGTATTTGAACCCGTTTCTTCATAATACCTGGTGGTGCGGGCGTGGTGGCTGCGGGCGGGACCCTTAAAATGCCTGAACCTGTAGCGCCCGATTCTGAATCACCATTTGTATCGGACGTTGCGTCAGACGAATCTGCTAATGGACCAAATTTAACTTGAGTAGAACTATCTACAACTCGCGGTTCAAATGTACTAGTCCTTCCTATAGCATCCGAATTACGTCCTTCAACCTTTTGTATATCTGGCTTTTGAGTATCAATACAAACAACACTACCTGCTTCAATCGCACTACCGACGCTGACGTCCGGCAACGAACTTCGGGCCGCCCGATGTTTTTCATCATAGCAACTATACTCCCCGAAAGTGGGTTCTCCGCAATCAGATAATGTTCGAAGATCAAATTTTGACCCCGAACTGCGTTGTACGTGTGATTTGCACTCAAACCCGAATCCTTTGCCATCAAAAGCTCTAACTTCATAGTCTAACTTTCCATCATAGTTATCTGAGGATGATGAGCTCCCGGCCTCGGCCAGATCGTCTTTGCAACGCCGAGGCCGGGAGCCCCTTTGGTGGTAAATCCCTGCAAATATGAGAACGTTAAGGAGTAGGAGAAAACAACCGACGGCTATTGTCACTGTTAATGCTGCCGTATAGGATTGATAGTGGGATGATGCAAGTCGGCGTAGAAGTGCATCATCAGGTTGCATAGGTGTGGTAGTAGCATTAGGCGGACACTCAGTTGATGCTGAAGCTGGAGACGGCTTCGGCTGGACGGTGCGTGGTGGAGGTGTGCTTCGGCTTTCTCCACGCCCTCCAATATCAATATTTATAACGTGAGGAACATGAGCACGGGATAGTGATTGAGCCCTTACCGCACCTAAGGTAATAAAGACAAATGAAAGAAATAAATTAATTAGTTAAATAATTTACCGTACAACACTCCATCATGACTGATTGTGAAAGCGCCTATAGCTCTTAAAATTTCTTTTTATATTTGATATACAACGACATTATATTAATATTTTCCTATAATATGTAGATGATAAATACTTTTTTATTTAATACTTTCTTAGATTTACGCGAATATTTGACATTTTAAATAATACCTCCAAGACATGTAACACCTTAGTCTCTCCCGTGACCATGGATGCTGTAAAGCATTCGAAACGTCGGGAAACAAAAATGCAAATAAATCCGCGACAAAATCCGAAAAGATAGTTTTATTTAAAATACTTTTTTATTGTTTACTAGCTTATTCTCGAAACTTCGCCCACTTGTATATTTTTTTCTTAGTCCATACAACTTATCATCCAAGTTTCATATTGGAGCATGTAAAATAAAAGGCTCAGGCTGTATACTTGAATCTATATCGATAGATCCATATAAAATTTAAAGAATGTGTTTCCTTACAATCATATAAACAGATATAAACATTAATTTTGATTCAGTTATAATAAATTATTATGTACAATAGTAGATATAAATAGTATATTTTAATATAGGTATTTGTGTGAAATTATTACAATACCTTCGTAATAGTTTGCACTGTCATCTTGAAAATGGTGATGTCTCATAGCAGCGTCTGGCAAATCTGATCCGGGGCGATGCAGTTGCGGTATGAGGGACAACCACAACGACATTTTGTGACCGCGATAGTGACTCCTCATCTCCGACTTACCGCCTGTGTGCCAGAATAAATTGATGTGAACGAGTAAAGTACAGTAAGAGTATAGAAACATATAAAAATAGATAAAGCCAAAACTCTAAAGTAAACTAGGTAATACAAGTGCAATTTCCAAACGTTTACAACGCAAAGCATAAGACTTATATAAAATAACTCCAGTTATTGAAGTTATTTTATATACATTATTATAATATTATTATTTTTAAAAATATATGAGATATCTTCAATTTATACATGCACGATGTCACTCCATGTTATATGTAAAAAATCCATGTAAAAACATAAAATATGGATATAAAAACATACTAATTTCCATATAAAGCTGGTTGATGGTGTCGTATGTATCCCAGTAGGGCGTCTGGTCGGGAGCGAGCGAAGGGGTTTCCCCCATCACGGGACTGGGCGGCGGCGTCGCAGACGGATCGTTGGGGTTGCTAGTAATATTAAAATCATACACATTAACGTACAATAAAACATCTTATGAATATTTTACATAGTATTTTCTTAATATAGTAATGATTTGACCCAGTTTGTAATATTAATTGCAATGTTAGACATGTATGTACATTAGAATAAATAGATAACAAATAACAATAATGTGGATTTAGATACTGTCTTGGCAATATTTTCCAAAAATAATAGTCTAAATTAAAACCCTTATTGTATGCCAACGTTCCGAAAGGATTATTTAAATTACACTCACTTAATCTCGTTTTATAAATAGGATGTGATTTATCTTATGCTCTTAATTAAAATCTCTTTTTCGAGAAACAATCCATGGTTCAAGAGTTTTATGATGTACAACTACATGAACAAAGTGGTTTAAGTACCCTACTTGAGTTATATAATTTTACTATATTACCATGTGGAAATGAATATTGACATTTGCTCTCCCTTTGTGGCATGAAGAGCACTTTAGGAAGTCAGCATCCATTATTATTATTACTTACATTAAACCCCATTAAATTTTATGGTTAATAACGATTTCAAAACAGGTGTTGACTTTTTTTACATTATTTGCTACATATTTTATAGAAACTTATCTTGCATTCTTTTTATCATAGGACGAGGACCATTATTAAGATGCTAATTTGTTATTATTATCACACAAAGGAATTTATAATTGGATATCACTTTTAAAAATGTTCGTTTATTTTATCCTATTAAATATTTTATAAACTAATCCGTCTGCGCTAAGCTAGAGCCTTTTCAAAAAATATAAGATAAATAATGTTAATTAATCTACACTATAATGAAATTGTAACTAAGCTGAATCTGTACATTAAATATTTTTTGGAAAATCTTATTGAATTAGTGATTATTATCGATACAGAGGCCGAATCTATAGTTTTTAGAATTTTTGTCTCTCTGTCTGTCTGTCTGTCTGTTACCGCATCACGGAAAAACCACTGGAGGGATTTTGATGAAATTTGGTACGGTAATAGCTGGTTATTCGGGTCAATATATAGGGTACTTTTTACTGCGGGAAAATATTTCATTTCTGAAAAAAAATACAAAAACTGCAATGTAAGAGTATACTAATATGTAAAACATAAGAATTAGGTTGTTGGTCATCTGAACGCGAGCGGAGCCGCGGGCAATGCTAGTATAAAATATAGTATAAAAGGATTTCCATCTTACCCATATTTAGCGAAATTCGCGAGGTAGTGCATACATAACTTGGAAACTCTTTGTTCCAGTGCTGTAAAGTTTTGCAGGTGATGAGACTGTGATAAGGGAACTCCAAGATAGTACGGGAGTTCTTCACCGTGGACGGAACCTGGCCGCTGTTGACAAACAAAACTTTTATATACTCAACTTTTTTTACGTCATTTTGTCAATATTTTTAGTTTTTAAAGCTACAAGGTCATATTATTATCGGCATGCATTCTTGAAACTTGTGGATTTATTTCTCACAGAAATAATTCAATATATATCTCATAAATACATGTACTTATATAATTATTAAGATTCAAAATTTAATATAACTAAAATATGTAGAGTTTGACTAACTTCGTCTGTTACTCAAATGGTCATCACGTTTCCATTTAAAGTTATATTAACGAAATCAAAGTTATATAAATGCTTGCCACAATCTATTTTCGACAAGCCCAGCGTTGAGTACAGTCACCATGCAATTATAGGCGGAAAGCGCAAAAAGTACGAGGGGAATCAGGCCATAGTCAGGCCAGCTTGGTGAACTATGGCCCGACTCTCCTCGTACTGAAGGGAAGCGCGTGCCCAGCAGTGGGACGTTAAAAAGGGCTGGATACACAGGCGGAAAGCAGAGAACTAATCAGGAGAGTTTTGAACTGCAGATAACAAAAATTTGACCAAACGTTATTTTACTCTACTTGTTACTTTCATTTTTATTCAGATATAAATAGATTGAATACACCAAGAACTTTTATTACAAAAGTATCTATCTTTTACGCATTCAAGCGTATTTTCCAACAAAGAAATAACAATGTTTTGCTTATACTGCTGTCTCAACATAGATGTTCGCCGCATATATAACAATAACATGAAAGCTATAACTCAGTCTTTCTTAGATTCTATTTTGATAATATAACATTGTTTGAGTTAATTATCGAAGTAAGCTAATGAATCAGAAATTAAATTATGTTTTTAAATCGTTTGTCGGTGCGTAATGGAAACAAAAATTAATCAAAATGTGCCATACTGTCTACCCCAACCGGCTTTACTCAGTTTCTAATTATAATAACTATGAAAGGCTATATTTGTATCCATTTCTATATGAAAGACGGACAATGCAACAAACACATTTAAATAATAAAACACAAATTTGTACAAAAAATATATATTTCTAAAAGACATGAATAGCTATTTAAAGAAAATATGATTTCTTTATGTGGAATACTTATTCAGTCATGTTATAATAATTTAAAATAAATATAATTTTCTAAAACTTTCAACGATATTAAACATTTACTTTAATATTTAAGAGTAACATTTTTATATGCATTCAGTAAATCTCGTAGTCAAAATATAAATAATATCCAGTAGATTCGAGTGCACGTGCATAAACCTGTAAACCTTTCATTTTAAATCGCTTATATTCATTAAATCTAGTTTCATTGGATCCCTCCTGCTAAAAATGAAAATTATTCATTTTTATGTTTTCTACCTCTTTTCAGGAACACTTTATCTTTTCCAGATTAAAAAGTAGCATATGACCCAATTCTTTATAAATTAATGAAAGTCCCGCAAAAATTCGGTTTATCCGCTTCTAAAATTTAAAAAAGATCAATACAATTTTTTATAAAATCTATCATAAAAAATATTTGTATATGGGATGGGATGGTATAGCTGTACCTAAATCCCAAAAAAAAACAGATTTATTTATTAGTGTTGTTTAAAATACTGTAAATTTCATTTTCACATTTGTATGTAGGGGTTAATCTCTATAATTACCTACTGATCCAATTTGGATAATTATTTTACTAATAGCAAGCTATATTTCCACCAATTGCAATAAGCATTTTTATCCCGATAAAAATGTGTATATTATTTACAGAATAGGAATAAAAAGTTTAAAAATATTAAGTCTGTAATTATAATATTATATATTTATAAATAAAAAAATATTATTAATAGAAATTTACATCAATATTTATTGATGTAAATTTCTTTGTCTATAGTAAATTTTAAATATTACTTGTATGGATTTCGATATAATTATGTCTACATAATACACTTTACACTAGAAAGGTAAGAAAGGTAAAAAAAATATTTTATTTTATTTTAGAGTAAGGAAATTTATTTTTCTGATAAAATTACTAAATTGATTTTTAAACTTTAGAAAGAAAAGACTTTAATTTTAATTGCCATTTATCAGAGTTCTCATTACTCTGACCTGTATTTTTAGTAAATACTGAATCACTCATCTTTCAACAAATCCAATTTCTTATCAAAATCAAAACGAAAGCATTCATCGCATTCTACATGCATCGCATTATGTATGTATATAAACATTCACCGCGTACGGCAATCACACCCACGGTCTAGCACTAAGTAATCATTAACAATAAACATGCGGGTTGCAATTTACCAATATGTTTGTAATAAAGATTTTATAGCATTATAATAGATTTATTGCATAAAAAATATAAAATATGTTTATTTTAGCACAATAAATTAAAATTCAAAGAAATGTAGCAACTTATATTAAAGTTGTAATTTACCTGCGGGTAGTCTTTATCCTGTGAAAGGTGATGAAAATGTGTGAAGTATGTGATCCCGCCACGTAGAGCGTGCAAATAACCCAGCCTTATCAAAGGCGCTGCTGTTCGCCCATCACTTAGTACCTACAAATTATATTCTAATTAAGTCAGGAATACATAGAACTCATAGTTTTGAACAAATCTCACAATATGTATAATAGAGACAACTTGTATCTAATAAATAAACAAAAGATATGAATATAATACTATAGATTGAATTTGAATAAATATTCCTTACAAAAAGAAGCAGTCATGAGGACTACCGACAGAAGTGAAAACTTAAAACTATTAGCAAACAATTGTTGTTTTTGGATATTCAAATTAATTTGATCTTAGATTAAAATCTGTAAATTAAAACTGTTTACATTTATCTGGTTTTGACATCTATTGGAACTCTGAGTGTTAGCGTTAACACGTCACGTGACCATGTCGATGACGACTTACATGAATTTACTCTCCATCCAAACCTACCCATAGAAGTTTTCACTTCAAAAATATCATTAATTAATTAAAAGTAACTTACATTTGTAAAATTATTATGACTTAACCTGCACATATAAAAGTTATATAAGTGGAGCGTATTTGCATGTTTGCACTCGTAGCTGTCACAAACAAACAAAAACGAATCCAAATTGCATTTATTTATGTAAAAATATACCACATATTATGTATGTTATTAGGGCTATATATATACATACGTATGTATATATATATACATACATACGTATGTGTGTAACGAATAATTTATCGCTACTTGTATATATGGCTTATGTTTCTATTAGGTTACGCCAAAGTTCATAAATGTACGCGAATATTGTATTTAGTGTTACATCCATTGTTTACATACCTAATGAATTGTCGATAATTACTATTTTGTGAGTAGTATAATATTTGCTGACATTAATGATTATTTAAGTATACGAGTATACCTATTTAATATAGTGGTAGGCAATGTATATACTCGTACAGTGTTAGTTTTATATATAGTTTCCTAATTTCGAATTCTTGTCTATTGTTATACCCACTCTTATCGCGCATTACTCCAATGGAGAGGAAGGGAAATAACACAAAGCCTCAATAATGCTAAAGCTCTTAAAAGATAAAAAGTATAAAAGAGCAGTTTTAGGTGTATATATGATAAAAATAATAGGAAAAGATTTGAACATTTTCTTATTGAACGCTGCAGTCATGGTTTCGTTACAGTGATGAAGTTTTACGGTTCATAAATTCCAATAATACTAATTGAACATGTATTTATACTTTTTCCACTCAATAAATAAAAATAAATATGTTGGGGCATTAAGACTCAGCACCATTTAGTTCCATGGTAAGCTTGGTAGGCTTGTGTTATGGATACCAGATAGATACACTACATATATATAACTTCAAATACATACATATTATAAATAAATTCTAGTATTATTTCATTAGGTATTATATGAATAAAATGAGGTCTTAGATATAATAAATATTATAATTTAGGTATACCCGACTTTTTTTAACGTAAAGTTTGTGAGTGAGTAAATGAGTGTATTTATATATTATTCCCGCTGTAACAACTCATGACATGACACGAAATTCGAAATGGAGAATTGATCCTTGATTATCAAGGAAATATATATAATACTTTCTTAGATATACGCAAATACTTGACATCTTAAATAAAACTATCTTTTCGGATTTTTTCGCGAATTTATTTTGATTTTTGGTTCCCGACGTTTCGAATGCTTTACAGCAATCATGGTCACGGGAGAGACTGAGGTGTTAGATGTCTCTAAGGTATTATATAGTTGTTACAGATAGCCTACCCACAAATAACAAAATGAATTCAAAAATTGAAAATTATATATTGAAAATTATATATTGAAGTATATATACTTTTTATCGACATATGTATCTACCACGCAAGTGGAGTTGAGAACAAAAACTAGCGGGTGCAAACATGAATTGGTAGCTTGTTACTCAGCTCAGCTGTAGCAGCTGAGTTACAAAGCTACAAAAAAGCTACAAAAAAGGGCTTATGTATTAAATTCTTTATAATGAAAGTCACTGAGATGAAAGGGCTGAGTATATTAAATATAGCTTGTTTTAATTAAAAATAACTCTACTTATATGCTAGTTTATAGAAAAGTCTGTTATATTACATTAATTTAAAGGTATCTAAAAACCTGTAAAAATACACAATCTCGGTCTACACAATGAATGATATGTAAGGAACAAAATACTCGTAAAGCCGCGTATCTGCCGCACGTCGTCTAAACCAAAGTTTTTCTCTCCATATAAATAATTTGCAAATCCTAGCTTTTAGAAAAAACAACAATAAATGCAATTGTTATCTTATTTGATGGATACTATCATTTTTAATATTACACTAGTGACACTTTAATATATGTTAAGTATAAAAATTTAATTAGTAGTTAAATCTACTGTTAATAAAGATTAATTATGACGTTGATGGTGTTATAAATTTCATTGGAGATAAGAAAGTTTTCTAAGAAAGCCTTTTGAGGTGACCATCTTTTCAAAGTACACAAGCATCGTTAACTTTCTTTATATATCACAAGAACGATCGGTGAGTTGCGAAAACTGTTTGAGGCTTAATTTAAGACAGCCTGTGATATCGGATTGGCTACGACACGGTCTGAGTAGTGCCTAGCCTGCGTTTAGTTTACATTTCATCAATCAATCTGGCTCTAATGTCCTAGCAAGCGTATCCTATGCCGTATGTTCAGAGCTATGTATATTTGAAACCTATGTATTATTAATTTCAAATAGTCGAAATCTATACATATAATAAAATTGTAATTTGTAAGCCGAATCTGTACATTAAATATTTTTTGGAAAAATCGTATTGAAATAGACATTATTATCGATACAGAGGTCGAATCTATAGTTTTTAGAATTTTTGTCGGTCTGTCTGTCTGTACATCTGTTTCCGTATCACAAAAAAATCACTGGTGGGATTTTGATGAAATTTGGTATGATGATAGCTAGTTATCCGGGTCAACATATAGGATACTTTTTATTGATTTAAAATATCTTACCTCTAAGAAATCTATACTAAACGTTAAAACGTAAGTAGGGATGAACCCACTCGGGTTCGTAGCCGACCGGAGCGAGGGTAAGTCGCTAGTTCATAAATAAAATATTAGAAACAATTTATGTACACCTTACGTCGGAGTGTAAAAAAACTACCCTTCAATGATTATTATGAATCCAAAATATTATACGCATATTAAGTTTATAATAGCTTAATACTAGCAGAACCCGCGGCTTTGCCCGCGATGGAAGTACTCTTCGCTCACGTATAAACTTTGCTTTCCCTTCCCTTTACAATAATGTATGGATCGATTTGTTGACATTTATGATTACTGTTCCGTTCTGTTGGGTAGTAGGACGATGACTTATATCCTATAGCCTTCCTCAATTAACGGGCTACCTAATGCAAAAAGAATTTTGCAAATCGGATTAGTAGTTCCTAAGATTAGCACATTCAAACAAACAAAGAAACAAACAAACAAAGAAACTCTGCCTCTTTATAATAAATTACTATAAATTACATTTTTATTCATTGATTTTTATAATAAATAAAATAACTAAGAATGCAAAAATTTATGTACACCTTACGTCGGAGTGTAAAAAAACTACCCTTCAATGATTATTATGAATCCAAAATATTATACGCATATTAAGTTTATAATAGCTTAATATTAGCAGAACCCGCGGCTTTGCCCGCGATGGAAGTACTCTTCGCTCACGTATAAACTTTGCTTTCCCTTCCCTTTACAATAATGTATGGATATCTGATCGATTTGTTGACATTTATGATTACTGTTCCGTTCTGTTGGGTAGTAGGACGATGACTTATATCCTAGAGCCTATAGCCTTCCTCAATTAACGGGCTACCTAATGCAAAAAGAATTTTGCAAATCGGATTAGTAGTTCCTAAGATTAGCACATTCAAACAAACAAAGAAACAAACAAACAAAGAAACTCTGCCTCTTTATAATAAATTACTATAAATTACATTTTTATTCATTGATTTTTATAATAAATAAAATAACTAAGAATGCAAAAATATATGTTTCATATTAACGCCAATATTCCTGTCCCTTTCCCCCTAAATGATAAATTATATTACGTTTCGATAAGTTGTTGTCTCTTTTGTGGGAAAATTTAAAAGGAAGTCAGAAATGAAGATATAGTTCATTAATCATCACGGCTAGAGTCACGTACAACGAATTGAGCTCTACCTTTCATGCCTGCGCCCTTAGGAGTAGAGAACAAAAGAATAATGGTCAAATATAACTCTTGGAACTCCGAGATTCATACGAGATATGTCACTTTAAGATGATGAAATATATGCCTTTGCATTTTTATCTTACACTAATTTCAGACTCATTTTATTAAATATATGTAAAATAAAAATAAAGTAAAAATTCTGAAAATATTTCTATCAATATTTCATGAAGCCTAAAAGCTTAATAAAAGCCAAATAGCGCAATGATCTTTACAATTTGCTGAGATATTTATGGCTCTACACATTCAATAACATTTGCTCTACACGTTATTAGTTCTTTCGATGAAATAATTAATAGCATATTTGTTCAATGTTCGTGCGTTTAAAATTCTACACTAATAAATATCATTCTTATTAGCGAAGAAAAATATTTCATCGTATAAAATAGTTCCGTTTAAATTATATGTATGACGAAGGAGGATTTAGTTTTCCTTTTTCTGCTAGAATGTGAAACCTTATTGTTTAAAGTCACTATGTTTTTTTTTCAATCGACCAATTTGCTATATTTTAAGCATGTTGATAATACAATATTATTATTTAATTTAATACTCTACATAATGAATACGTTATTAATCAATATCTAATATATCAAATTTAATTGACACTATAATCATAATTTAGTTTTCTTACTGACTTATTGCTTTTAAAGTTATTTTGAATTTAAAGCAGAGACTACGACGTCTCGAGCGTGGTCGAGACGCCATCATGTCATTCATTGGAGATACGTGGCTTAGTAACGTTGGTTGATCATGGTGGATCATAGAGAGTTATGTTTAGACATTGTAGTTCGTAGTCGATAATTGACGTCCCAAATCCGCTGTTGCTCTAAATCATTAGAATTACCGTTTCCAGTTTGTAACATTATAATTTTCTTGATTAAATTGTGTATTGAGTATTGAATACTTTATTATTCGAGCCCTGTTAACACCCACCAAAGTAATCATTTAAGATGATGTTCGTAGTATAGGGATAACACGACATGTAAATTACTAAGTAAAGCGCGCAGCCGAGTTACAATGCGAGTAAAAGCCACAATTTAGATCTTACCTCGCATGTTAGCAACGTCGAATCCTTTAGTTCGATAAATTAAAACTTACTTCTAATGTCGCATCGCGCACACTAAGCGGATTTTGCACGGGCTTGTCCCAGTCCGTGTATTCATTCTTGAGGGTGGAATAAATCTCGTTGAGGTGGTAGTAGTAGGCGTTGCGTACGAAAGTACGCAGAATACGGTCCCGTCGAGTCTCATTGAAGCCGAACTCCAAGTCTTGAGCATTGAATTCCAAGTAAGATTCTGCAAGTAATGGTATGTCATTCATTTGCATAAATTTATGAGCGCGCTCGGCATTCATATTTAATTAAAAAGCAGGAACTTTCTCAAATATAAAACTGCTTTTTCTTAGAATAAGTAGTCGTTTTATAAAATATTTCTTAAAATTACATACATAATTATGATAAGCACATCAACTATCACTTATAATATTTTACGAGTTACATTTCAATGTGTCGTAAGCAACTGGCGATTGTAAGACCACTATATAGTGGTATAAGAAATGGTGAATAGTAAATAAATAGTTTATATACATTATTATATCGGTACAATTATACTATTCAAAACATAATATTATATATTTCATAAAATATAAACAAATAAGATATAAATAAATAATCATTATATTTTTATTAGATATACTACTTGCTTATTATTATATGGTGGGTAATGAAAATGGCTACTGATTTCATTTTATACATATTTACCAAACTTTAATAGCTACAGTTTTAAAAGAAATAGTTATAGTTCAAATTAAACTAGTAGTTCTGCGAACAGTAGACCTCGCGAGCACAAATTGCATTATAAGAAGCTACGAGTATATTCTGCTCATCACGCCGAAGATCCTCATCAGATCTTCACAAAATTTTTTGAAACCAACTTAAAGTTACTATATCTTTCAAATTAAAAAGAACCATCAAAATCGGATTTCATAAGGCGGAGGTATCCAGTCCCTCTTTTTGCCCCTTTTTGAAGGAAGTCCCCTCCAATCAAAAAACGTCGCCGACGAAAAAAATCTATAAGGTCGTAAAACCTGTACCAAGAAACTGTCAGAGGAAAGCAATATTGCTTCGCTCGTTCGGTCGATTAATAATCTCATACAATAAATGTTTTTACCTGTAGTTGTGAGACCAAATAACAACTCTCTATGAGGAAAATCAGCTAATTCATGTCCCGCAGCGCTCGCGACTGCAGCTGCCCCCACACCCAGACGTGAATTGTCGTTAGGTGGTGGCGCCTGCGAAAATATTAGTATGAATAATATATTTTAAGTAACATAAATTCTTATTAAATCTTCTTTCTTGTTACAAAATGTTCTACAAAACAAACGTAAACAATGGAAATAAAATATAGAGGGATTCAATTCTAAACTTTATCTGCACAACAAAAGTCAAATTGCAGTAGAACGGACTAGCTTAAAACTTTAATATGAATGTAAATGAGGAACAAACAATGTTCTTGGCAAGTAATTAGAAATGCACTACGGTAAACACAGCTCCTAATAACTTGTTAAGAACGTGTTCTGTAGTAAGTTCCTCCATATTACTTGATTCTTTCTTTATGAAAAGTCAATAAATTTTTAAAGAAAAATACTTATAAACTAAAAGCGTAGCATAGCCTCGTGTTGTGGTAGAAGCTATTTGAAATAAATTGAGCAGTAAATAAACAACAAACTTTAATTTAAATTTCTTACAGAAGATGGATTTACAATAACGGTGCCGTCGACAAATGGGGCAAAGCCGGGAAGGAAGCGGGGCGGGTCGAGCCTGACGGCGAGCAACTCGGCCAGCGGCTTGTTGCGCAGGCATGGCGCCAAGTCGTCCTCCATCAAATCCCCGTGGCATCCAGTCTGCTCCGCAACCTAATAAACATAAAAGCAAATGTAAACATCGTCGGTCGAACTTTACTGTATAGGCAATTCACAAAACTTGGCAGACGAACAAGCCAGTGCTAATATTTTAAATACTAAAGTTTGGATGCCTGGTACTTAGTTACGCCGTAACTACAGAAATGTACGAAATATATGTCCTTAAGAATATTTAGACAAATACTGAAACTCATTTGTAAATTTTATTTATGGCTACAGAAAATAGGCTAGATTTATTGCATAGTAAAAAATATTTGTATATCTTATTGAGTTATTTATAACTTATCTCAATTTAATTATATACACACTCATAAAAATATTGATGATGATGGGAACTTAACGTTTTAAAAAAAAACAAAATAACTACATAGAAACTTGCTGATCTCAAAGATTAAATTTACTAATTGAGTCTGTCAACTTTTCAGTATTTCTCTCAAAGCTATTAATCTATACATATAATAAAATTGTAACTAAGTCGAATCTGTACATTAAATATTTTTTGGAAAATCTTATTGAATTAGTGATTATTATCGATATAGAGGCCGAATCTATAGTTTTTGAATTTTTGTCTGTGTGTCTGTCTGTCTGTCTGTCTATTACCGCATCACAAGAAAACCACTGGACAGATTTTGATGAAATTTGGTATGATGATAGCTGGTTATCCGGGTCAACATATAGGATACTTTTTACCGCGGAAAAATATCTTATTTCTGAGAAAAAATACAAAAACTGCATTGTAAGAGTATACTATTATGTAAAACATAAGAATTAGGTTTTTGGTCATCTGAACGCGGGCGGAGCCGCGGGCAATGCTAGTACTAAATAAGCTTTGAATGTTATGCCGACATCTACCTTTCTTTTTATCGTGAGCGGTTCTCTCTGCAACGCCCATGAGCTAAGCCCCGACCCGCTTAACAAGATGACACGCTTCAGTAGTTCTGAAACAGATAACCTAATTTAATTTTGTTATTTCCGAAGAGGATTAACCTTCTAATGAAATCTATTAGAGAAAAAAAAACATTGTGGTTTCAAAGTAAGAAAAGCAATTCTCATCCGAACATATGCACTTAGACGAAGTTTGTTTAACTAGTGACTTTTTCTATAAACTAATTAATTAACTACATTGCTATGGGGAAAATATCCTGCGCGTATACGAATGTATACCTGATTCAAGCTTTGTAATTATTACATTTAGTGACGAAGGGTCCAGACGAGACTCTTGACACAAGAGTATAATGAAATCTACCATGGGCCGGTCTAATTACAAACAATGAGAGGGCCATGCATCATTCGTGAACGGCGGCTATTTGCGGTCTCGGCAGCGATTACAGAAAGCGTAGACTCGCAATTTTATTTCATTGTATCCTTTTTAGGAAGTACAAGAGAATTTTTGATAATTAAAATCCCCAGAGGTATATATCAGATATATAAATTTTAAGCCTACGCACTCATTATTTTCGTTTATTCTCTTTTGTGCTAAATATAAATTAAGCATTATAACCTTGCAATGTATGAGAATTTTCCACGGAATGAAATATTATCGTAATTTTTCCTATTATAAAATTTATCTAACCTCTAGCAACTGGCGAAACGGCAAGAAAGTTAGCAAGTGCTGCACCAGTTCCGTGTCCCATCAGTGTAACTTTTTCAGGATTTCCTCCGAACGCTGGGAGATTCTCCCTCAACCAATGCAGACCTGCTACCAGATCCATTAGCCCAAAATTACCCTGTGCCGATCCTTTTGCGCCAGTCTTTAGAAATCCTAAGTATAAAAAACATAAAAATTACACGGCTATAAATGAGGAAAAAACTAAGGAAGGAAAAAACAAAGGAACTAGAAAAAAAAACAATGTATACACCACACTCAAATATAGACCACAAACTAAACTTTGGTGATTTTATTTTTATGATATGATAAAAAATTAGAGTGTTACAAAGGTTTAAAAAACGTAATTGATTGTGAAGTTTTCATTGCCTCCACAAGGGACATACTTGCACGCCATCGTACTGTTACCGCATAATAAAGGTAAGAAAAGTAAGGATGACCATTTGCTAAATTTCTATTTGTTATATCTTTTGGATGATCATTTCATCATTTAATAAAATGGAGGAATGGTTCGTGAAATGATAAAGTGACAATTTACCGAAAAATGATATTTTTATAGGGCAATAAATTTTAGTGATGCAACGTCACCTGGTTGATAGGGCCAAATGATTAATCAACTTCAAAATAATATGATTACTATATTCGTTATTTTATTTTAAGCCTAAATATTAATTTCCATTCAAAAAATATAATGAATCTTCTCCATCATAGCTATATATAAAAATACATAGCTACCGATTTTTACTTTTATTCCTTATTAGGTCAGTTTGAAGCATTCGACAGGTTACAGATCTAGTATCTGTTTAGGCAAGTTTTGACGCGTGAGTCATAATTAACAAGGCATATTTAAATTTCACAACATTTAAGTACATTTTAGTTGATAAACATTAACAGAATTAGTACACGAAACTTGTGGTGACGCATTACACCACGTATTACCGATACTGGTAATTCACAGCGACTGCGTCAATTTGCGGACTACGCCATCCACAACTCCTGACACGCCTAGGGTTCGGTTATCTGCAAGTACTATCAGACATATCCATTTCCATACTAATTGAGGAGCTCGTTTCTGAGACCATATTCCATTCTGACAAGGCCTTTGTTTAAATCTCAAAATACATATATGATATTATACGATTCATTGAATTCATTCCACGAATTTAATCATTTACATGATATAAATTCATGCTTCATTTCTAAATCACGCTATAGCTAACAATATGGTAATATTAAATGATAAGTGCTTAATTTTATTGTAATAATTATCCGAATGTGTTTACCTACGAACCCATAATATGGATTGTTGGCCTACTTTATTTCGATGTATTGTTACAATGTTCATATTATAATAAAATTGATATTTTATTATGAAATAAATAAATAAATACGTCGAGACATAAACACACGGCACCATCTAGTTCCATGGTAAGCTACGAGGCTTGTGTTATGGATACCAGATAGTTGATACACTACACATATATAACTTTAAGTACATACATATTGTAAATATAATACCCATAACTAGAGTACAAACATTCGTGCTCATCACACAAATGAATGCCCCCAGTGGGATTCGAACCCGCGACCGCGGTCACAGCAAATAGAGTTACTACAAACTGAGCTAAACGTGTCGTCAATAATAATTTAATTAAATACAGAACATGAGAATGATATGAAAATAAAAGCATAAAAATTAATGACATTATCTTATATACGAATACGAAGGCGTTAATGACATACATAATAAAGCGAATTCAGTTAATATGTATATACTCGTGGGTAAATTATTATCTACAGTCTACAAGAATCATACACTGTGCATATTTTTCAATAAAGTCTTATAACTAAGTCGATCTTAGCTGATCTTACTTATTGTTTTAATTTTTTTTTAAATACCAATATAAGAATAGAGAAAAATAATGTCAGGAAATCAAAATAAAACAAACTACTTACTTAGTTTTATAGATGTGAAAATTTAATGAAACTAGTTGCAAACAAAAATGAGCGCACAGTAAAATTAAAAAGTCCCACTTTTAAACTTATATATTCCAAAGTTATATTATATTTTATATTGACGACCCGCTTGGCTCAGGGTGTAGTGCTTACTTGCTATGCCAGCGGTTGCGGGTTCGAATCCCGCTGGGGGCATTCATTTGTGTGATGAGCACGAATGTTTGTACTCAAGTCATGGGTGTTTATATTTATAACATGTATGTATTTAAAGTTTTATATGTGTAGTGTATCAACTATCTGGTATCCATAACACAAGCCTCGTAGCTTATTATGAAACTAGATGGCGCTGTGTGTTAATGTCCCAACATATTTATTTATTTATGTAGTTGGAATTAAAGTCAAAACACTTGAAACATTCAACGTTTCTGTACAAAGTATAAAATAACTTATATACGTCGCAGGAAAATTGTAAAAACCGTAAAATTATAATTTCCGGCGTTCTGTTAACTATCTTCATTTCTAACAACATAACGGGTCAATTTTAGGTATATTATAATTTCGCTAAGCACAATTAGTGACATTGTAATTACATACTTAGATGTGGTGGAATCCTTGGTCCATTTTAATAATGGGTAGTTGTAATTTCACTAGTGAAATTCTAATTTTACGGTTTTTACAATTTACCTGTGCCTTATACTACATAATATCTATCATGCAAGCTGTAGCAGGCAGCTACGACTCTCAAAAGTTAAGATTTTGGGCCAAATTTCTACAGACATAGTTATGTTGTAGTTTTAAATGTTTCATTTTATTTATTTATTGTTCTAGACGTATAAAACTTTTGTATTTATTTTATTTTGTTTGTAATTTAATTTTATGGAAAAGTTTCCGAATTAAAGAGATTTATTATTATTATTATACAAAAATTTGATGCAAGGGTAATGCACTAGTGCACACAATATATTACCTCGATGCAAGGAAAACTTGTGGCGGCTAAGCTTAGTTGGGAAGATTAATTAAGCTATTATCAAGTGAAACACTTACCCAGTACACCTAATCTAAAGTTGATAGTAACTACAATAATGTCTCCGTGTGCAGCCAGCGTCGTGCCATCATATGCATTACCCGAGCTCCACTCATACGAATCTCCGTGCACAAACACAAGGCAAGGCAGCCCTGCGCCCTCACTCTCCTCTTCAAAACCTGCATAGTAAAAGTATTTAAGTCATTGAAAAAGTTAAGAAAACAATATTAAACGTTTTAATACAAACATTACAAATCGAAAGTAAAAAATGCAGTTTTGATATAAAATAGACATCCATTTTACTTAAATAAGCCATGTACTTTACATTATTTTAGTAGATATCTAGATAAAAAGTATATATTATTCATTGTTTCAATAAAAATCATGCATCCAATTTTAAGTACACACGTTTGTAATACTAACATAATAATTAGAAATGTAATTTGAAACAAGCTATAAACACAATTTTCTTATTCAGTTTCATAAAATTTATTTTTAGAATTTTATACATAAAAGATAATACAAATTATTTATATAGTCATTCTCTAAAGCTCTATAAATCCAAATTAACAAAGTTTTAAAACGAGTCATAGGATCTAATCTTCTTATCATTCATTCATCTTAAGTTTCCATTCAAGTATTTTCTTCTACTTCATTATCATTAAAAAGTAACCTAAAACTTACATGCACTTAAATTGAGCGTCGTTGGATTAATAGATTTTTCTCGAGGAAGCATTATAAATAGCAGTTTATAACAATATAATCCTGTTGTGAAAACAAATAGAGTCCGTTTGTTAATTAAAGATATAACAAAGGTGTTAATTAGAATCCTTCATTGATGGCGTGGTTTTCATTATTTTTCTATTTTCATAAGCCAGCATGCATGTTGATGTGTCGCTTAAGAAGGCCTCAACCTCACTTCCGCACTGCTTGCAGGGGGCAATATGCACTGCAATGCACTACGGAATTGAGGCCTCGACACCCTTTACGCTGCCCTTTTTCCTCCTAGTATGATCTAATGACTTTCATTTTGTATACATCATTTAAAATTTATTAAGCCTATAGTATACTAAAACATAAGTATAATAAAATACTTAAATATATAACTAGGTAATTTTTTACATAATTATAAATTGAATCATTTTATAAAGCTTTATGACGTACAATGTACACACATGTATATAATGAAATATTTCTAGTATACACAATAGAGTAATATAAACTAACATTTCTAATGAAAACAAAATCATATTCAAATCAACTGTACGTAATAATTAAGTTTATAAAGATTTATTACAAAGCAAAAAAAAACACGTTAGAACAAGGCCTTGAACGGAGATCAAAGATGAGATCACGTAATCAATGAGCACGTGATATGAAGCTCAATGAAAAATGGGCCAACAAGTGAAAATAACACTACTTAATTAATTAGCATACAAACAGCAAACAATACAAGTAATTAACACAGACATGTACGTCGACTAAACTTAAGCATAATGAGTATCTTAATCTGGACAATCAACTATGTTTATTCAGAATATCAAGCAAAATCTGTAGACTTACAACGTGAAAAGTACCAAAAATCTTAGTCACTTACTAACTTTCACATTTATTTATACATATAATAAAATTGTAACTAAGCTGAATCTGTACATTAGATATTTTTTGGAATATCTCATTGAAATAAACATTATTATCGATACAGAGGCTGAATCTATAGATTTTAGAATTTTTGTCTGTCTGTCTGTTACCGCATTACAAAAAAACCACTGGAGGGATTTTGATGAAATTTGGTATGGTGATAGCTGGTTATCCGGGTCAACATATGGGATACTTTTTACCACGAGAAAATATCTAATTTCTGAGAAAAAATGCAAAAACTGCAATGTAAGAGCATACTAATCTGAAAACTTAAGAAATTGGTTTTTGGTCATCTGTACGCGGGCAATGCTAGTATAATTATACTGAAGTGAAGTATGTATATTAACGGAATTATGATGTTTTAAATCAATTCGTGCTCAAATACTGAGTTGGTAAATAGATATGAAAGTATTTGTATAACAGAAAAAATGCTAGCCTAACCTAACTAAACCTGTAACAACTATATGAAAACTAAACAAATATTATTTATATTATACTAGCGACTCACCATCGCTTCGTTCGGTTTCGTCCCTATGTACGTCTTAAGGGTTTGTATTTCATACAAATCTTTATATTCCTTGGCTTTTCTGTACTATAATATGCATGTACAATACATATAAAACTTCCTCTTGAATCACCCTACCTATCTACTGCTGAAAACTGCATTAAAATCTGTTGAGTAGTTTAAAAGATCTAAGGGAACAGACAGCGGAAGCGACTTCATTTTATACTACGTAAAGACTAGATAACCCCAAAAAAAAGCACACAGTGAACTATAATATTTTATCACGATATTTTTAAAAAACAATAAAATATTCTTTGCATATGGAAATAATACTAGTTAAATTATTTCATTTTAATTAGTTATGTCGAAAGACATGTGTAGTCCGCCAACCCGAACTTTGGACTGTGGCCTGATAGGCTGATCCCCCTCGCATTGAAGGGAGACCCGTGCCCAGCAGTGGGGCGTTAAAAAGGCTGAATACAAATGTATATACATGTAAGTATGTATATATATGTATATGAATTGTGGTTATATAAATATATGCTTGTAGGTTTTAAATCTAGTTATTCGTTCACTTTACATGCAAATCAAAATAATAACTAAGCAGGATAACTAACTCCTCTCGAACCACTTATAAGGTATAATGATTTAATGAATGAATAATACGTTTTTACTCGACAATAGGATAGTGTTGCATATTTCAAAAGCGGCTTATTTAGCGGCCAGTGAATTTGTGGTGAAATGCTTTGAATAAATAACGAATAACTGGCGGGGATTAAAGGGCAAAAGCTCGCTCAATTGCCGCCCTAACAGAAACGTTTCAATTAAAAAATAAACATTTTATCATTGCTTTCGACAACGAATGTTTCAACATTCTTTTAATACTTCAAATGTCTATGTTTTAACAGATTTTTTTTGTGAATAAATTTTAGAACGTCGTTCGTTAATTAATTATACCTATTTATTATCTACACATGTAATGAAACTGTAGAGGTCGAATGTCTGTACGTAGAAAAAAAATGCTATAAACCGAGTCAGGGGGATGTAAGAAGAGAAATAGAACAAATCAAGATTTTTTCATTTTTTTTGTTTCTCTGTCTGTTTGTCTGTTTGTACGCTAATCTCCGAAACTGTTAGACCGATTTAAATAAAAAAAATCATGGTAGTACCTTATATCCCGGGTCAACATTTTAGGTACATCATGAAAATTTCTTTAATTTTCATTGTTCCCGTGCACCTTATACAGCTTAGTACATAACAAATTATGCGCCTAATTTAGTAAAATTTGGCATGCTGATACCTTTGTATTGCTGGTCAAACAACAGGTTACGTGGGATAGATCTGTTTGTGTTTTTCTAGAGGCGAACCCGAGCAAAGCGAGAAGCGAGGGTGAGCCGCTAGTTAACACTATAAATAGTAAATTAATGTAGCTGGTGTTTAATCCGATTGCTATATTTCATGAAATTATCTACTCAGTACTGAATACTGAAATTATGCTATTGAAATGAAATTGAAATGAAATTTATTTATTTAGTAACAATTCTTATAAGTATACAGTAAAAAACAATGGCTAAGATGATACTGCAAAAGTATAAACTGCGTTGCAGATATCAACGCCCGCCTCCGTACACTATTTAAACTATTTTGTAAAAACTGAAAAACAATAAGATGATGATGATGTATGTGTGAGTGTGTGTGTGTGTGTGCGTGTGTGTGTGTGTGTGTGTGTGTGTGTGTGTGTGTGTGTGTGTGTGTGTGTGTGTGTGTGTGTGTGTGTGTGTGCAGCCAGTATGCTATGGTGAATTCACGTCAATTATAAAATAATCGCACATCCTAATAAATAAACTAATTGCAAAGAATAATCTGGATGTCGAAGAAAAAAGCTTTTAGTATTAAAAATTTCCTTTGACATCCATTCGCGGAAGAGCGATTGTTATAGGGAGTAACAATTCGAGTCTTAAGAGCTATAAAATAGAGATGAATTTAGACATGTTTTAAAGCCAATTTCAAAAATAACTTATTTTGTGTTTTGTAATTTTATATTACGAATATTTTTGAAATATATGCCCCATATATAAAATGTTATTTCTGACTCCCTTCATTAAAATTTAGGTCAAGAATACTACTAGCAACATATATTTTATCGAAGAGATACTTTGAGCTACTATTATACCGAATGTATTATTACTTTAAAAAAACGTATTTAAAGGAACCTTACTACAATATAAATGCGAAAGTTTGGATGTATGGATATCTGTTACTTAATCACGCTAGAACGTCTAAACGGACCAGGATTATATTTGGCACAGTGATAGAGTATGGTCTGGAATACCACATAGGCTACTTTTTATCCCGGAAAAATTAACGGTTCCCGTGGGATATATTTGTTTTTGTTTTTCACTAGAGACGAACCAGAGCGAAGCGAGGGTGAGCCACTTGTTCTTCATAAAATGTTAATTCTTTATAATAATATTAATAAAATCATTAATTTCGTTTTTCGCTTTTACTCATTGCCCTTTCCCCTAATATAAAATAATAAGTAAAAATTAAATATTTTTTATTTCTAAGATGTTAGGGATATTTAAAAACAGAATTATATTTTTTTATTTCTTTTCCGTTTTATTCATCTGTTTAATGGTGCATCAATTTAGAACGATTGAATGGAGTTCATTATGACTTTTTAACTACAGAAATAATTACAAAAATATCTAAATTTCAAGAAATTCATTCAAGTTCTAACTAAAATTCTGTAAAGTATCCAGACGGGTTATATAAACCATTTTAATGGTAATATCTATAGTATTTACTAAGTTACTTATTCATTTTATAAAATTCGCCATAAGCATTATTACTTGAAGTATATAATTATATAATATCAAAATACATAAATATACGACTTACGAGTAATATCATGAAGACATAAACCATTATATAATAATAAAGAACTCAGCATTTCCCATATACCATTTCATGAAACGTTTCCAAGTTATAATGAAAATAGGAGACGCTAGTATCTAATGAAAAAAAAGTAATTTATTTCAACATGTTCACTACAATAGATAGATATCAATATATAATTTGAATAATAAAATATAGCTAATATTATTAACAATATAAAATACTAAATCACAAATTACGTCGTAATAAAAATTTATATCTCAAACCTATATAGGTATGTGTGTTCATACATAAGTATAAATTAAAGTATCGTCTATAAAAATATCATTTATTATATACATATAGCAAATCCTTTAAACAAAAAATTACGTTTACTTACCATGAACGGGAACGTAGAGATTGACGTAGAGGCAGTCCTCGCTCTGATTAACAAGCATTGGAAGCAGACGCTCGAGTTGGCGGATTCGAGCACGGGGATGTGACAACAAGGCTTCCTCACGGGGTGAAGTAGCCGGGGGTACTTGAGGACACGCAGGCCCTAACGCATCCGCCAAACGCGTTGTTCGCCACTGCGAGGGCGTAACTGGCGGCATGTATCTATCGCATAGATGAGGTGCATGTTCAAAATGTAAGATAAATATTAAAATAATAAAAAAATCTAAAAGTTAAACTTATGCTATAACTTTGTTAATTAAAGAAATTCTTATATATGCCATATATTATTATACAAAATCAATATATGCAAAATGGTTTATTCTTCACGTCGTAAACGTTTAATTCGATGCTTTTAGAAATGATCTGAACTTTTTTTACGAAACACTGAGTTGAAGTTGCAATTTTATTCCTCCATTAACTTATAACCATTTTATATTATACACAAAAAGGCGTATAGTATTTAGATAATCCAATACTATTTACCTGAGACTACCTAGAGGCGGAGTAGCATACGGTACGCCAAGGTACGCCTCGACTTGAGGATGCGAATGCACCACGATCCCGCGCAATGGTCCGTACTTGGTCCGTATGACGCGGGTGCTATACTTGTGCGTAGAGAGAGCGGCTGCGCAGCAGACGAGCCACGCGTAGAGCGCGGCGTGGTCCGCGCGCATCACGCGCACGCGCCGCCGGATACGCGCGCGCGCTCGCGCATCACGCGGCCTGCCTTGCGCACGCGCACCGCCACACACACCACCAACTCATCCTGATCCTTTCTCACGAGCTCGCGGCCACTATTGTGTGAAATATAGCACTTTTAACATATTTTGTAATTTTGTTTTACATATTATCAGTTTAATGCCTAAGTAATGTTATTTTTTTTATTTAGAAGAATTACTCACCCAAGTCATTCTTTCGCTTCGATCGTGCCATACGATGAGATGAACATTAAGTTAATCTGTAACAAAATAAGTTGTTTTAAGAAGAGTAGCGATCTTTTAAGTTTTTGCTCTATATATATGTATGTAATCCACCCAACAGCGATATAAAGGTATTGTATCAAAATGTTATCTTTCTAATGATTAAAGTTTATATTACCACTAGCATTGCCCGCGGCTTCGCCCGCGTTCAGATGACCAAAAACTAAATTCCTAGGTTTTACATATTAGTATACTTCCTCAATGTAGTTTTTGTATATTTTCTCAGAAATTAGATATTTTCCCGCCGTAAAAAGTAAAATATAGTAATGTACAGATTCGGCTTAGTTACAACTTTATTCTATGTATAGATTAATAAAAAATACAGAAAAAACGAAATTCATAAAAACCTATTATATTTATGTAGATATTATATGCATATAGATAAAATATTTAATAAACAAAATACATAGGAGCCTGATACAAGTAGTGACTGAATAAATAAAACTAATTAAAGGAGAATCATACTAGAGCGAGGAACTTAGTCAATAATAACTACAAATAAGTATTCATATATATTCATATATATTATTAAATCGTGTAAATTATTTAATAACAATTTAAATAATTTACTTGTAATAACTCATATAAATTCATTCAGTGGCTTTTTCGGAAACAAATGATCGCAGTAATAAGGTTTGCGTAACCCTCTTTAATAACACCTTAGCTGTATTAATTTGGAGAAATTATATTCGAGGTTTATAATTTGATTACGTAATCTTTTAAATGTGAGGGATTTCAAATTTAAATATAAGATAAATAATACGTGTAATCAAGCGTTATGTGATTTCAAATGTATCTACTCTTTAATGGATTCTCAAAAAATCCTTAGATAAATGCTTGCTACTATGCACATAAATATCCTACTAAATAGCGACCTGTGTATTCAGCCCTTTTTATCGTCCCACTGCTGGGCACGGGCCTCCCTTCAGTACGAGGGGAATCAGGCCATAGTCCACCACGCTGGCCAAATGCGGGTTGGCGGACTTCACATGTCTTTAGAAAACTTGCTAAGTTCTCTCAGACATGCAGGTTTCCTCACGATGTTTTCCTTCACCGTAAGGCAAGTGGTAATCATGTTAGAAATGATTCGCACATGAAAATATCAGAGGTGCGAGACCCGGGATTTGAACCCGCTTCACTCGGTTTCTCAAGCGAGCGCGTTACCACTGGGCTACCACTGCCTTTTATCCGGGCTTATTCCGTTGTATTAAAAATGATTTGTGTTTTTTCCTGCGTATACTTTGTTTTAATAATATTTAATTTTTAAGATATATAATGCTTGTTTGCTGTAAGGCATCTGAAACGACAAGAAATAAAAATAAAACTGCCAAAAAAAACCAAACTACCACCACTTTAGCTATATTATCTACCAAATATTACAATGGATGAAATTTGGGCCTAAGTGAGTTGAAATATAAGATAATGTAATTTTTATTATTTAAATTATTAACTAACACAACAAAAATGTCCATTATGCTTTTATAATTAATATTTAGTTAATTTAGTTTCCTAATAAATTTAATAATAGCGACCTATCCTGGTTTCATTCCATCGCATTGTATTAAAAATGTAATTTTTAAATAAATATAATAAAATAAAATTTAATTTTTAAGTTATACATATAATGGTCGTTTATTGTACCTAAAACATTTGAAACGTTTAATACAAAAAAACTGCGCAAAATTAACGAAAAATTAGTTTTGTTTTAAAATTAACTTTAAGTATATTTGATTTTTCTTTCTTATTTATTTAATATAATTTTTTCCATAATAAAATTATGTTCAATTATGTAACCTAAACGCTAATATTTGCTAAATGATAAGTATACATACATTTTAATTACCATAGTAGGTAGTACTGATTCAGTTGAATTTATTCAGATTTCATAGTGGTAGTCGGCACACGCAGAAACGTCTATTTTTCAAGAGCCCTTTTTATCGTGTCTTTTAAATCATGATGAAAAATCTCTATCCAAACTGCATAAATCCTAAGCAAAAATATTTATATTCTTTAAAATGGTTAATCTTACATTCCTGTTCGACACAAGGAATTTTTCCAACAGAACACGTATTAAAACACAAAAGCTGGAGTAATGCAGCCTAGATATTGCCCTGGAAAAGTTGCTCATTCAATTCAAAATCTTGACCTAAGTTAAGTTAAGTTACCAATAATTCTATGTACGAAAAACTATAAATTATATTTTTCACAAAAAATGAGATTAAAGTCGCAAAAATATATAATAGCTACTTAAAAAAGAGACAATCTTGTTTTATCTACTTTTCGGTTATATTGAGTCCTTAGTTCTTTTTATAAACAATGTTACTGTGTAATTCATACTATTATTAAAAATGCGAAAATAACTCTGTTTGTTTGTTTGTTACCTTTTCACGGCAAAACGGCTAAACCGATTTAGATAAAAATTGGTATGGATATAGTTTGAGACCCTGAGAAGGATATAGGAGTTTTTACCCCGGAAATTATCACCTGAAGAGGGTGGAAAGGGGGGTGCAAGTTTGTATGGGGAATCAATCATTTCTCAAGTAAGACATAAAAAACTCCTCATACATCTTCTTCATATATATATATATATATATATATATATATATATATATATATATATAATATTTTGCAAAAGAAGGGTCCAATATTTGATTTTGTGTAAAAAATATCTATTTCTATAATATAAGTACATATTAGTTTTACGCACCAAGCGTACCAATGTTTTGCTCCTGTATGACGATAAAAAATATTATAACGATAAATTATATTATATATCCTTAGCAATAGTATGGAATATATTATGTATCTTTTATATCGGATTCTCGTACCCAAATAAAATATAAAAACTAGGAAATGTCAAGTGGACTGATTTAGAAATGTTGTAAAAGTATATTGAATGCCTCGCTGAATATAATAATTAGATCATCATTAAGTAGTTACATAATTAAAATAAATGTACATTTATTTTATATTGATTTCATTATAAGAGAAGAATTTCTATTTGCATTGTTATTTTTTGATTTGTATTGTTATTAATGAGTAAACAAGGAATAAATACATAATATAAACAAAATGAATGTATTATTTACTATAATGTTATAAATAATTTACATATGTACGCCTTTATGATGTAAAAGTCGAGAACCGTAATAAATTCTTTAATGAATAGGAATTTTATTTAGCGATATTTTTATTTAGAGATCAGTAGCGGTATCAGAGGCTGTGCAGCAAAATGTGGAGCGACAACAAAGATTCTGCACGTCACGCCAGTGATTGATGTTCGACCACCCTCGTTCTCTTTGTGGGCCGCTTGCGTAACCAAATAAGCCTGTAAATGCCACAGCCACCCATAATAAAAAAGCGTCATAGACAAGTATCGAATTACTGTCAACTATTACATTTTTTTATTCTTAAAATAGTATTACTCACACTTAGCCTCTAATTTTGTTGACATGTTAAAATTGTATAGTATTATCATTTAATATATAATAGTATAAAACTGAATGGCTCCTTTGTTGTTGTTTTTTTTTTTGGAACAAAAAAAATTCTTTTGATTGCTAATTTATAGAAAAATTTAGAAAGCAGAATAATTTAGAGGCGGAAACAAGAAAACAAATTAGAGTAATCAAAGAACTATATTAAGTGTACATTTTAGCTTATTCTATTAATTTCTTTATCACTCGAGAATCCTACATTAAGATATTGCCCCTGTTTTAACAGTATGAGAGACGATATTTACTTGGCAACGTTCAATGGAAACGAAACAGTTTTAAAGTGAGCACGAGCTCGAATCCTCATCAAAAGTTCACATGCTCCGACTAATTGCATTAAGACGCCTGCTTAAAATCTTAGTGAAGGATTTGCTAAAGTGTCAGCGCCAATTTGTGGTGAACATGTTAATCTTTTTCGGGTTGATCGAGCCGCGCGTGACACGTTACGCTCAGATAACACAGCGATTACTCGTCCCGTCGTGCGAGCTTGAGCACGCCTGCAGTGATCGATCACTCGGCTTTTAACAGATTTACATACAGTTGCACTCCTTAAGTATGCGCATGAAAATTAAGTCGAATGGCAAATGCGATTTATACACAGTTTCGAGTGTCTGTGAATTATTCCTTAGTTGAAACAACATTCTTTAGAAGTCTTTGTTAGGATTGATGTTTTGAAGTAATTTTGTTTATATTTTGATTCATCTAATGCGCACTCTAAATTCATTTATATAATCTATATCTCAAATTTTATAAATAACTACCTATATACAAGTATTGTGTACAGTTGAGTAACATATTACGTAAAGCTATCGCCATTTCCAAGTGTTTTTGATTATCTAACTCTTCTAACCTAACGCACAGGTGTTTGTAAAGTGTTCATTAATTACAACAGAGTAGAAATTTATTTGAAGTAACTTAATTGATAAATACCAACAGACTTGTTACAGCGTGGTTTCATTAAAGAGAAACGCATGCTCACCCTGTAACCAATTAAATTAATGGATACAACACTAGCGGCGAACGGATGAGTTGCTTCATAAATTAACAACGGCGACGTGTGGAAAAGCCAAATTTAATACTCAAAAAAAATTGTTTGTGCGCACCACACTGCAATCATATTTTTGTGTAATTTCTATTTAAATTTATTTAAATAATTAGATGCCCTGACAGATGTATTTCTGTCTAAATTTAAAATATTTTTAT